GAAATCACCCCCCGGGGGGGATGGCCACGCCGCAATCCCTTCTCCTCCATTCTCCTCTCGGGATCTTGGGCACGCACGCACACGCGCCCGGCGTGAGTTTAAGCCACCGGGTCCGGGACTCGAACCGCAGTCAATTATGTGGGAGTCTAGTGACATAACCATTATGCCATCTGCTGGCCCCTCAGCATTATTTTTTAATTTGACCTGAGAGAGACAGAGATAGAGAAAAGAAAAGTGAGAAAGCAAGCCGCCAGGACCGGGACTCGAACTACGGACAGCCAAATGGGAACCCAGGGCCTCTAACTACCATGCCATTTGCCGGTCCCAATAAACAATTGATTGAAAAAAAAAAAATCTGGCCTGCTGGGGGCCTAGCATGCTGCAGTTTATAAGGCTGACTTTGGCCTCACTCTGCATCGTCAAAAGCAGTCACTCTGGTTGCCCCGTTCCTCCTGGGGCTCGAACCCCTGCCGGCCACCTGCAGCCCATCGCTTGCTCTGTTGGACTGGGAGCTGTACCAGGTGCTTATAAAGAGGCTCCAGACCCTGCCCTCACCCTGGCGGGACAACCCCAGCATCCCCTCCCATGGCTTCTTAAGGCACGAAGGTGCCCACCCAGGGCTGAGGGACACAGAAGGCAGTGGTTTGGCAGACAGGGCTGCCGGAAACGACCTTCCGCAACGCCCCACTGAAGATGCAATTTGGAGACATGACTCAGCCGCCCAACACGCAAGCCAGATTCAGCCGTGTGTCTGCCATGTTCCTGCTTGCCTGGCAGCCACGTCCTAAGCTGCTCCAGCCAGGGAGGGAGTGGGGACCAGGGGACAGATGACAGGTGGTTTCGGAGAAGGCAGAGAGATGGAGGGCTTATCACTGTGGCCACGTTCACAGGTACCAGGGCGCCCTGTGTTGGAGCACACTGAATTCCCTACTGCCACCCAGAGAGGCTGGCTGTATTCCTGTTGCGTTTCACAGACAGGAGTCAAGGCTCAGAGAGGTCAAGCGCTTTATGCAATGACACACAGCCTCGGCAGGAAGGGATTACATTAGCGTTATCCAGGGAGGCCCAGGAGGCCGGAAGGAAACCGGCCTGGCCTGGCCTTGAAGGAGCTGTGAATTGGGAGCATGGGGGGTGGTGAGTGCCCGCTTTTCTACACCTCAGAGAAAAGTGAAGGACAGGGTGGTGGCCTACTTGGCGTTCTTCCACCGCCAAAAGGGGTAACCCAGTTTCGTTCTTTTTTTTATTTTTTATTTTTGAGAGGTTTTTTGCTACAGAGCGCGTGCGCTCACCAGAAAAACAGAGCGAGACAGAGAGACAGAGAGCGAGAGATCATCCCCCAGGGGGGGATGGCCACGCCGCAATCCCTTCTCCTCCATTCTCCTCTCAGGATCTTGGGCACGCCGCCCACGCGCCCGACGTGACCTGAAGCCACCAGGTCCGGGACTCGAACCGTAGTCAACTACATGGGAGTCCAGCAACATAGCCATGACGCCAACTGCTGGTCCCCATCTTTCTCTTTTTTAGAGAGATTTTTTGCTATAGGGCACACACACTCACCGGAGGGACCATGGCCATGCCACAATCTCTTTTCCACTTTCCTCTCGGGACTTTGGGCACGCATGCACACAAGCGCAGTGTTTTTGAAGCAGCCAGGTCCAGGACTTGAACCAAGGTCCACCATGTGAGAGTCCAGCGCCTTAACTACTCCACCACCTGCTGGCCCTCCTTTTTTTTTTTTTTTTACGTTTTACTAAAGGGTACATGTATTTGCCAAGGAGAGACAGAAAGTTAGAGAAAGGGAAAATGAGAAAGCACCCCCCAGGGAGGACGGCCACGCTGCAATCCCTTCTATTCTCCTCTCAAGGATTTTGGACACACACACACGTACCTACCGTGTCTTTCAAGCCTCCGGTTCTGGGACTCGAACTACGCACTCAGCCCAGTCGGATCCAGCCAACTTAACCGCCACACCTCAGGCTGGCCCAGAGAGCAGGCCAAAATCTTTTCTTTTTTAATTTAAGAGAGATTTTTGCTATAGGGTGTGTGTGCTCACCAGGGAGACAGACAGAAAGTGAGAAATCACCCCCCTCAGGGGGGATGGCCACGCCGCAATCCCTTCTCCTCCATTCTCCTCTCGGGATCTTGGGCACGCACACACACGCGCCTGGTGTTTCAAGTCGCTGGGTCTGGGACTCGAACTGCGGTCGACTACATGGGAGTCCAGCGATGTAACCACGATGCATCAGCTGATCCCACACTCTAGTTTCTAAAGGCTGGATGGGATCAGGGGGCCCTGGGAATAAGAGATCACTCCCTCTTCCAGCTCCCTGGGCCTCAAGGCAGAATCCCAGAGACCCTCAGGGCTTCCTAGCGGCCCAGAAGCCCCTCTGAACCCCCAGCCAAGGTTGGGATGTCCAGGAATGGGTGTGTTTTTCTGGGTGAAGCCTCTGGGCTCATCAATAAATTCCCCTACAGATTAGGAAGGACAAGCAGCCAGTTCCATTAGAACCAGAGAGTCCCTAAGATCACCAAGAATTGTCTAAGGGAGGGGCCGGCAGGTGGCGTGGTGGTTAAAGGTGCTGGACCCCACCCCCCAGCCCCCAGAAGTGCTTTTTCACTTTTTTTCTCTCTCTGTCTTCAGCAAATGCAAGTGTCCTATAGCAAGTTTTATAACAAACAAATAAAGGGACCAGCAGTTAGCATCATGGCTGTGTCGCTGGACTCCTACTTAGCTGACTGCAGTTCACATCCCGGACCCGGTGGCTTAAAACTCACGCTGGATGCATGTGCGTGCGTGCCCAAGATCCCGAGAGGAGAATGGAGGAGAAGGGATTGCAGCGTGGCCATCCCCCTGCGGGGTGATTTCTC